TGCAGAGGATATGGGAGGTACAACATGTAAAAGAAAACAGAAGCTAAATTGTCTTTCTCTTACTCATTCTTTATGTCTGTGAAAAGGTTTTACATTTGATTGTCATCCTTGCTGCATCAATTCGTGGGGGTTTTTAATGACCATTGCTCTTCCAAATGAACAGCAACAGCTAACAGACATTTAGAAGTTCCGCTGTAACTTTTAATGTTACTTTAACAGCATTCTGGTTAACTGGTATTTCAGTTTAAGAGTCTAGAACGCTGCTTCTAGGCAAATTCCACTTATTTTACTCAGTTGTCCTTTTGCAAGGACTGTACAATGTTTCAACGCCCATCATGTGTTAGCGTTTTTTTGACCGTTATGTACTGGTTCTTTGAATATTCATTTGACATTTTTTGTTCTCTGTAAAATACTCATTAACACTTTAACTCATAAAATAGTGCTAAATTGAATCTAGTGGATAATTGCTGTGGTGCAGGACCATTCTTACCTGCATTTCTAAAGCGAGAAAGAGACTTTTTAACAAATTGGCACAGGGATAAATTCCTTGATCTGAGCAATAGGTTAGGAATTAAAGCTTTCATTTCGACTAACTGCTCTTTGAGTTCCCAGTACAATTTTTACTGCCTTTATTACCGTCCGGGAACAGTGTGTCCAGCCTGAAGACTGCTGAGGACAATCTGTTGAACATTCATTCCCTTTGATACTCTTTAAAGGGACTGGGGTTTGTAAAAGATTATTACTGTGCACAATTGAGACCTCTAGTAAAACACAAACTGTGTTACCCACTGAAGCACAGTGGGATAGAATATGGATTGATGTGGAGAAGTATTTTACTCCTGGTTAGGAGCAGTTATAGGATAGGAACCGGTAGGTAATCTGGGAAAGCATATACCAAGTGTTTGCTAGGTGTCTGATCTGCATACGAATTAGCTGTAACTGCTGTACCTCAGGTAAAGAGAGTTCAAACAGTGGATCTCAAGGTGAAGAATGACATCTAGCTGCTTTCCATGTATGGGGAAGTAGTAGGTTATGAATTTCTCTCGGCAATAAGGAAACCTTTCCAAGAGTGTTTTTGTAATTAAACTTCCTATGACAATACACAAGTTGTGGCATGAAGTAGGTACCTGTGCTTCATGCTTTGGTCAGCCACAAAGTTTAGGTACGTAATTTGTTAAGCAATCTTCTTTTTTCTTTCTCTCTTTATTCTTACTACACAAACTGAACCTACGGAGGAAGCAAGTCGGTGACAGGTTTTTGTTGGAAAACCAAGGTTTTAACAGTAGAAGTCATCGGTTCTGTCTCTGGTGTTGCCAGCATTATTATCCTTGGCTTGTTGATGCAGGTCTAGAGTTATAAATTGTGTAGGCAGGGATGAGATGCCCAATAGTTAATGCATAGACAGACAGACAGATTTAGGATGTAGAACCTACTTTTGCAGCCACTCCAGTTTCTAGAAGTCATTAAAAAATGACTGAGCTATGAAGACAGTGAACAATGATGGTCTCTTTCTTGGAAATACCCTCTAGCTATTACAAAGGAAACTTGGCAGATCAATTTGTCTTTTCTAAAAAAAGGGAGGAGATTGTTCTTAATGTGTGTATTTTTAAATTGAGATTAAAATTTTATAAGCAGAGTTTTGGTCATGTCAGCTGCTCGTGTTCTTCAGGTAGATTAGAGTAGTTGGGAAAAGCTTCAACAATCCAGTTCCTGCCTGTGGTTTCTTAGATAGACAGAGTTCATTTTTCCTTGTCTGGGCACCTGGGCCTCAAGGTAAAAAGAAAATATTTTTTAAAAACTAGCAAATGAATGAACTACGTTTATTGGCCTCATGTCAACAAATTTTCAAATACCCAGAACCAGAAGGGCAGAGAAAGCTACGTTTTCTCCTTATGATCTGTAAGGCTTTGGTAACTGTACAACGGCACTCCACGGGCTGTTCATTGCCTTTGAAAAGCACTAGGTGAATTTATGCCTTGAAATTGCATATTCATAAAAACCGTAATAATTAACCTCAGCATGAAGCTATATGAACATATTTGCATACCATTTATGTTCTTTTGATATAACCTGTATAAAAATACTTATTCAGTGTTAAGGTTTAGTTAGCTATTAAAAAAAAAAAAAAAATTATTTGTTTATAAAGTCAAGATTGTTCGGTTTTCTTAAGTGCTTAACATTTCAACTCTGAAATGTCTCAAAATTTGCAGAAAGGCTGTGTAATTTCCTGGACTTAGATTGGGCTTTCAAAAGCTCCGAACAAGATTCAGAAGCACAAACCAGTGATATTTAATAAGGATTTTCTTTGTCTGCCAGAGCACCTCAGTCTTGCAGGTGCTTTGATAGCCCTAAGTGATTTTGAAAAAACTTTTTGAAAGTCTTAGTAGTTACGTTTAGGGTTTTTTAATGCAATCAGTACGTAGTATCAAGGTTAATGTATTCTTTTTGATTTTTCCCCTTTTCTTTCAGGTCATTGAATACAACCCATCTCAGTGCCTGGATTGGCTGGCTGTGCAGACACCTCGAAATAAACTTGCTCACAGCTGGGTGCTGCAAAATATGGAAAACTGGGTTGAACGCTTTCTTCTGGCACACAACTATCCTAGAGTGAGAACTTGTAAGTTAATTTAAATTGAAGAAAATTGCTCTTCTATTGCAGCAAGTTACTATGCATGGGGTACTCCTGTCACAAATGAAATACATGCTCTTGTGCTTGTCTTTTTTTTTCTTT